GCAGAACTCAAAAATGGCAGTTGGAGGGTGTCTTGGAAATGGCTGTTGGAAGCACTAACTTTAACATACAAAATTCCAAACTATCATATCTCTAAAGACGTTAAAAGTGAGTACGCAATGAAAATAAGAGAACGGGTAACACAGGGATGGCTTAAACCATTTGAAGGAAGATGTAATGTCATCATTACATCTCCCTTAAACAACTTGAATCTCAGAAGATCAACAAGATTGCGGAAGTTTCCGGATAAGTATGCGGACTTTGTAATCTAGAGATCAAGGGGTGTTGTAATTAGCATGACTAATTGTATTATAAATAAACTATTATTGTGTTGCATTAGAAGGTTGTGGATGCGTCATATATTGTAATATTTAACGCGTTTGCCTTAGAAGCTAGAGATCCGTGGTTCAACACCACCTCTATGCAAGTTTTATATCATCGGTGAAGAAGAAGGCGGGAACTTCAAATACTCTTCCGCGGTGCTCTGTGATAAGTGCGTAAGGTCTTTTTGGGGCACCTAATTTAGTTTATTAGTTTATTTCGCCGTTAAAAATATTTCCAAAGTACAACAATATAAAAAGTACAATTGGCTGGAGCAAGAAGAAGGCATAAAATAGCCTTATCACCGAGCCCCAATAGTAACACAAATAAATATCCGTAATACACAATAATCCGTAATATATAAGCAAAAGTTTTTAAAAAAAGACAATTTAAAATGTTAAAAAACAAAGTTAAAAAGAAAAAAAAGAAAAAAAAAGTATTAAAATAATTGAAGATATATATATAAAAAAAAAAAGTAATGATTAAAATATAGTAATAAAAATGACAAAAATTTTCTGTTTTTGGTTATAAATTGGATGTGATTCGATATATATATATATTTGTATATATTATTTTCTTTCAAAATAATTCAAAATTCAAATTAAAATTCTGTTCCAATATTATAAAATATATCAATAAAATTGTAGGTAACTTTAAAAGAATATATATATATTCAATGAAAGTATGATAAAGACATTGAAATTCTTAGTACTGTTAAATAGTCTAGATTTTTAAATTTATGGTGCTAATTTAGTTTAATAAATTTTAAAGCTTTAAAAGTGACATAGAAGATCTGCTATATTAAAATCCGTAAGTACTAAATAACGTCTTAATTTAGATTTGAATTGCGGAAGTGTTTTTTCTTTAATATTAACAATATGCTGAAAGTTTTTCCACAAAATTGGACCCCTGTACTGAATAGAATAAGAACATAACTTTAGATTATACTTTTGAGTTACAAAGTTATTTTCTGAGAACTTGGTGGGGTATTTATGGCTTACTTCTCTAAAATAAAGATAGAATATCGCTGGAGACAGTCCATGTTTTATTTGATACATGAACTGTATGAGGAGGAATATGTTAATTTTAAACACATTTAATGCATTGAGTAAAAGTGGCTCACAAGGCACAGTTCTTTTTACTCCAAATACAATTCTACATGCATGTTTTTGTTTAGTATAAATTTTCTTTAACTTAGCGTAGCTGTTGCTTGCCCATACGATATTGCCGTAAGTTAGATAGCTATGTATGAAGGAAAAATATAAACTTTTTAGAGATCTTATATCCAAAAATGGTTTTGCTTTATACATCATTGCAATGTTTATTGAAAGTTTTCTTACAACAGTGTTTATATGTTTCCTCCATGTTAAGTTTTCGTCTAAAATAATACCTAAAAAGTTTACAGTTGTTTGCCTAGTAATATTTATATTATTGTTTTTAAGATTGGGTAATTTTAAAGGAAGGTTTCCTGTTTTGGTTGGTTTGTGAAATAGAATAAATTTAGTTTTGTTAACGTTAAGTGAAAGTTTATTACAAATAAACCATTCATTTACTTTGTTTACTTCTTCATTAACTACTTTAAAGAGGGTTTTAATATCCCTATGAGAATAAAACAGATTGGAGTCATCAGCAAACAAAATAAAGTTTAGTATGTTCGAGGTAAGAGATAGATCATTTATATAAAGAAAAAACAGTAACGGCCCTAAGATTGAGTCTTGAGGAACTCCACATTTTATTATACTTTTTGTCGTTTTAACATTTTCATATTGAATGTATTGCTGTCTGTTTGATAAGTAATCTTTAAACCATAGTAAATTATTGTTTTTTATTCCATAATGTTAAAGTTTTTTTTAAAAAATGACATGGTTGACTGTGTCAAAGGCTTTAGACAGATCAATAAATACTCCTAATGTAAAACGGTCATCATTAAAGGCATTGGTTACATGAGTTACTAACTCGGTCAAAGCGTGATCAGTTGAATGATTTTTTTTAAAGCCAAATTGCTTGTTGTACAACATGTTATTTACTGTTAAGTAGCTGTTTAGCCTATTATACATTATACGCTCGAGTAACTTAGAAAAGCATGGTAAAACTGATATTGGTCTATAATTTGAAGAATCTGTGTCATCGCCAGACTTAAAAATAGGCAAGACCCGTGCAATTTTTAATTTTTCTGGAACTGTTCCAGATTGAAGAGAAAGATTAAAAATGTGATATAAAGGAGTTTCTATAATATGAAAAACTGATTTAACAACATTTATGCTAATATTATCAAAACCTACATTTGTGTTGTTTTTAAGATTATCTAGAGCATATCGTAACTCATTAATATCTAGTTTAGATTCGTCCATGACCTTATCATATATTTTTAAATAAGAATCAAACGATGATGAACTTGAAGGAATTTTTTCAGCTAAGTTTGGACCTAAAGTTTAAAAAAATTGTATATAACGTTTAAAATGTTTTAAAATTATACCCTCGGGGATATTTGCAAATGTGTATACATTGAGTAAAGATATTCACGAAGACAGTAAAAAAAAAACAAATATAGACTTATTATTACAACCTTTTTTAATAAACTTCAGTTGAGAGAATGAACCTTCTTGGATGCAATTGCTTGCTATTAAACAAAGATATATGCGCAGAGCAATTGAAACATTTGGGAAAACAGCCATTAGCCTAGGCTTGCCAATAAACATGAAAATCTGCAGTTCACTATTTTTGATTAGGGGCTGTCCATTAATTACGTCAACGAATTTTTTGAAATTTTTACCTTCCCCCTCCCCCTTGTCAACAATTTGTCAAACTTGTAGAGACCCCCCACCTCCCCCTATAAAACTACGTCAAATTTTGATTACCCCTGTGCCCCCCCCCCCTATACAAAGAAACTACGCTACAAACTCAGCCTAATTTTCCGTTATTTAAGCAACGAAACTCGAAAAAAAAAAAATTGTTGACGTCAACTTTAATTGACCTCACCCCCCCCCCTCCCTCGTGTCAACGGTTGTCAAAAAAGTTCAGACTCCCCTCCTCCCTATTTTATTGACGTAATTAATGGCAACCCCTTTTACAAATTTTGTTTTCAGTTAAGGTAATTTCTTTGTTAAATTGTTTGAACAAAGCAACAAATTAAAAGTCTGCATATATTAGAGGTTTTGTCAGCTTGAGTTAAAGTTTTATGTGATTTGCGCAAAGATTTTATATCTCTAGAAATCTTTTCTTGAAACTTGTTGATTTACTTTTCGAAATTTATTATTTTTAACTAGATTTACGAAATCATTTTTAAACATAGCCATTTCTTTTATATGTGGAGGTCATTTTTAATGCCATAGTTTTCGTATTTGCATGAATTAGTTTCGTCAGAAAGAGTATTAAGAAAGAATGAAGCTTTCCACCTCATTCTTTTTATGAGTGCTTCATTCTTCTCTAGTAACAGTAATAAGAATTCCTATTTCAATGGAATAGGAATTTTTTTGATTGAGTAATTAAAGTTTATTTCCTCGTTTGTGCGGACGACTTGGAGTAGAGTGCTCAAGTAATTGAAGCGTATATGATGATATATTTTAAAATATACGTATATATAATAATAGCATATATATAATTATTTTAAGACTTTGTTTAAGCAATTAGGACGTCATCCAAACAGGGAGGGGGGGAGGGGATCGAGTTAAAAAGGACAAAAAAAGACAAGGAGAGGGGGGGGGGGGAGAATGTCAGAAAAAAACGTCACTTTATAGATTTTTTATTTTAGTTTAATTAACATGGAAAACTACGTAAACATGTGTTTTTAAGAAGATAATGCATGAGAATGATTTAGATTTTATTTTTCAAAGGTGTAACAGCAGATTCAAACATCATTGCATAATGAAATAAATTTTTTTGGAGTTAAAAATAGGAATGGGGTCAGCATATTATGCCATCTTTTTCCATGGGTGTATAGGGAAAAAAAACAACCGGACGTTATGAATGGCCCCTTAACTGATTCAAAAAGATAGAACAACTACATGAATTCATTAAAATTAATTTTATTTCAGGGCCAACGACACCGGAGGGGTGGGGCCAGGGAAGAACGTGCTTTTTTTTTTAAGAAAATCTTGAAATAGAGAACTTTTTTCACAAATTGACGGTTGTGCCCCCCCCCCCCCTACTATAAAACCTGTGTCGTCGGTTTTGTATTTTATTGTGTTTATTCTGTATTTAAAAAAGTAGTACGCAGAGTAATGTAATTAGGTAAGGATCTCATTTCTAAACAAAACAAACTATTGCAATTGTTTATCCTTAAATGATATTCAGAACTATATTAAAAATTGCTTTAAATAAAACCCTTTATTGTTTCGGAATAACAACCGGAACAGGATTACTTTTTTTACGCAAACATTGAATCACAGAAACTTGATACTATTGTTTGTACTGATTTGAATTAGTAAAGTTTTTGTAAAGTCAAGCCTAGTCAAGTAGTACTCGGTCTAATTTAAGTCTACTCGGAGTGATTTTTACAACCGTTTATTTTTTATTTTGTAGCGCATATTATTGATTTACATAGTTTTAAAAGTATATTATTGCTTGCATTAACGTTTATAAGCTATTTTTTTTATATATAAAAAAGTTTTTTTTATATAAGAGTTTTTATCTTATAAAAGAAATTTTCTGGAGACATACTTTAAATATTATAAAAGTTGATTTTTTCATTAAAAGATTTTATTTAAATTAGAAAAAGTCTCAAAATTGATAAAAAAAAAAAAAGAAACGTTTTTAAAGACTGCTAGATCGATACTACTTGCATTAGCTGTAAATAATAGGCAGTTGTTAAGGAAAAACAATAATGGGTAATACACTGCATGCTGGAATCTTATGCCCAAACTGTAAATCAGAGAAATTTTATCCGTTGCGTCAATCTATAGAAGAAATTACCAATCACATTAAAAATTGCTATAAAATAAAATGCCCACATTGCTCTCAGGCAACTACTGGGTTTATCACAGGAAAAGAATTAGCAGAACACATTCAGCGCCATCACAACACTAAAGTTTTATGCTGTCCAGTATGCAACTTATTAGTAAAAAACGAAGAGTTTCTGATTGAACATTTTTTAGAAGTTCATCAAACTAAAATAACCTGTCCAATATGTAGCAAAAATATGACAGACGAAACTGATTTTATTGAACATTTGGAAGCTAGTCATTCCAGAATGTTTGAGAAATGTAATTCTGATGAAAATACTTTAAATGATAAATTTGCAAGAAGGAAAAAAGAAATAATGGTTGGCGATAGAGTACTTGTATTGTCAGAAAAACTGAAGTGGGAATACTTTCCTGCAATTGTGAAAAGGTATTGTTTAACTTATGCAAATGTTCAAAAAAGAGGTTTATTTGAAAAGGGTTTATAACTAATACCCACAATTACTAATAGGTTAAATGAAGATTCTCTTACGTTTGAAATAAATGGGTGTGATAACGAATCTGAAAGAACGCTGGATTATTTTAATCTGATAGAAAATAAATCTCCTTCAGAAACAGAGATTGGCATAGGTTTGATATTGCTATGCTTCACAAAAAATAAAAAAATATGAAAATAAAAGATTATGGTGATGATGATGATGATGATGATGATTACAATAATGATGATGATGATGATGATGATGATGATGATGATGGTGATGATGATGATGATGATGATGATGATGATTGTAATGATGATGGTGATGATGATGATGATGATGATGATGATGATGATGATGATGATGATGATGATGATGATGATGATAACTGTTATGACTTTATTTAGGTAGCTCAATTTTGTTTGCTCAAGGAGTATATCAAGATTCAAAAACTGGAATTGAAGTTCAAAGATGGCATGAAGGATCTATAACAAATATTTGCACTTTTGTTGACGGTAGCAAAAGGTTTTAAATACTTTATTAACACTATTTGTTGCAATGTTCTTCATTTTTCATTTTTATCTTATAACTAACTATAAGTGTTATCTCTTTTAATAAGTTACGAAGGTCATCATACAAAATCAGAAAAAGATGGCAAGTGCATAAATTATTCGGAATATTCTCCATTATTTACAAATTTATCTATTAATGAACTTCGCATAAGACAAAATGTGTTTGAAATGATAGGTAACTGTTTAATTTACCCTAAACTTTATTTTAATTTTTTTTGTTTTCTCATTTTGTTCTTTGATATTATCTTTAGTTTATAATTTACAATTATAAACTTAGTTTTATGTCTTTTTTGGCTATCTTAAGTTTTTTTTATAATTTTGTATTTCATTTTTAGACAGAGATAATTCACATATTACTGAAAATGAAATTTTTAAAAATGAAATAGCTTTAACGGATATTTTCTTTTCATATAATATTATTGATAGCTATACTGCTTATAAAAATGGAGAATTAGAAAACTTAATCATACCTGACACATATATTACAAATTACACAAACATGTGCGATCCTTATGAAATAAAGTCAATCCTGATTCAAGCAGGTTACAATGTAATTGATTACTCGGGTGTCAAAAAAGTTGACTTTAGAAACGTGTCAAGCTCAATTCAAAAATCTAAGGTATTCATAGCATGTATCAGTGATGCATATGTTAAGGACGAAAGTTGTAAAATGCAGTTTGAATTTGCAAAAACCAAATTACATAAGCCAGTGGTTCCACTTGTTGTTGGTGATGGTTCATTTTCATGGGTTATGAGTGTAATTGGAATGCTAATAGCTGGAGAATTGTTTATTCATTTTAGAGAAAAAGCCACACAAAACGAAAAATGCAATGAGCTGTTAACAACTCTGAGTAATTTGATTAAAGCAAACAAAAATCTTGAGAAAAATATTGACGAGCCTATTGACGTTTTTATTTCCTATTGCTGGAAGAATTCTTATAAAGCCGAGGAAATAAAACAAATAGAACAATCAAATGGAAGTAAATTTGCTGACCCCCGTTTGCTTAAAGATATGATAAAACAACTAGGTTATAAAGTTTGGATTGACATTGAACAACTTTCGTCCGCAAATGCTGATTCAGGTCTTTTTGGTCAAATAACGGATGGCATAAAATCGGCGAAGGTAGTCATTCCATGCATAAGCGATGATTACTCTAAAAGTGCAAATTGCAGAATGGAATTTCAGTTTGCTTTAAAGTCTCTTAATAAAACTATTATTCCAGTTGTTGTTGGAAAAGGAAATGATTGGAAACTATCAGTTGTGGGGGCTTTATTGAGTTCGTATGATAGTCAATTAATTAATATGCAAGATGTTTACGATCATAACAAGTTAAACAAAGTTTTTAAAAAAATCAAATCTGAACTGAGGCATAAGATTTCTCAAAAGTCATCTTATGATATGATGAAATATTTGTCACCTATTTCATTAAAACGAGAAATTTTTAACACTTTTTGGAAAAAATCTAACGTCTCAAGAACTCCAAAAGTTGGTGACCGCGTTATTTGTCATCATGTTAAATGGGCATATTGTATGGCAAAAGTTGTAAACTACAATAATTTAACTATGAAATACACAGTAGATTGGGAAGATGGGGATTTTAAAAGAAGTGAAGTGTTGTTTAACGAAGTAGCTTTAGATGTTGCACCTGAAATTACAGACATTGGCGTAGGATCAACTGTTATTTTTCCTCAAGGATTTTACACTAAAGGTAATGTTATTGGAGTTAATAGATATCATGAAGGTGAAATAACATCAGTAAATGTAATAGGAAACACGGTGTACTTAAGCGGTCATCATTCTAAGGGTGAAGATAATGGCAAATGGATAAACTATGATGAGTATAACTACAACTTTAATGATATGCCCTTAACGTGCATTCGACTACCTCCAACTGCATTAGAAACAATATATGTTGGAGCATTGAAAGTTATTAATAATTCTATTTAAAATAAATGATTTATTTATATAATACTAGAAAATTTTATAATTGTAAATATAAAAATATAATAGATAAATATATTTTACAAATGTTTTTTTTTTGTCATTTTTAAATCTAATATTTCAAAGAAAAATACTAATGTTGCAATTATAAATAAATTTTAACATTTTTATTGACTAAGATTTGTAGAGGATTTGTTTAAATTTTATAAAGTTAGAATTTGCCAATATATTATATTTTTTTAATTTAATAGTTGTTTATAATATATTATAAATCTTAATATAATTTAAATAAATTATTTAATGTGGTACTATACTAAATTTTTGACTATTTAGTTATTTAAAGTTAATTGTGCCAAAATTAGCAATATTTGTTTGCTGTCACTAGAAAACATTTTAAAAAACGTTAGAAAACATTAAAAAATTTTCAAAGTCGACGTCATTTTCGTAAAAAACGTCAATGCCTTCATTGTAAATAACTGTAAACTGCAAGATTATATTCAACAATGTATAGAGTTGCTAAAAAAACCCTTTGACCTATTTGGTCAAAGGGTTTTTTGTTTCTTCTTATTTTGAAATTTGTTTTGAGAAAAACTACGAAAAATATATCAAAGTTTTTTCTTTTAAATCCTAATTATCGTTAATCTTCGCTTTTTACTCGCATTTAAGTCATCATCACTTAAAAAAATTTGCTAATTAAAAATTCGGTTCTGGGTTTTAATCTTACTTAGTTTAAGAAGATATAAATGATTTTTAAAAATCATACTTATTCTCAATGTGAATATCATTTTTAAAAACACATTTGAATTGGTCATTTCAAAAACCTCTTAAGTCGCATTTTTTTCCAAAATGCTTTTTTTTGCTGAAAATGGTTTCTTAAAGGAAGAGGCGTATTTATGGTTAAATCCACGTAAGTCAATACATTCCTTCCTCTTCAAATAATACCGTGTGAAAGACGTTTATTGCATTAACAACATTAGTCAGCAACTTAAGAGGTTTTTGAATGCACTACTAAATGGCTGAAGTAGTTTTATGACTGAATGTGACGTTTTACATTTGCTTTGTTCTGATTGGTTCAATCGTCAACAATCGTCATTAATGCCATTTTTGTGTCTTTTATTCAATTATTTTGTGTGAAATATATTTTTAGCTTTAAAAATATCTTCAAGTGAAACTAAGAGTGATGATGAGCCGAAAAAGAAGAGAACGTGTAATCCTTCAAAGTATAAAAGAAATTTTGTGAAAAACTCTAAAGTTAAAGGACAGGCGTATTCTAATTATCGAGGAAAACAAATAGTTCTAAGATCTACCGGTTAAAATTGCAGGAAAGCTTTTTATAAACCTTGATTCAGTTTACGTTTTTTATTGAAGCCTATATAAACCTAATATATCGCTTATTTGTTTCAGATGTAAGAAAGAATGATTTGCAAGTTTCCACCAAGATGACATGGACTTTTGTATTTCAAAAATTAACTTCTTTTCAACAAAAAATGAGCACGATATTTCAATCTTTTCTTCAATCACTTATTGAAAAGTTAAAACAGAAGCATCCTTGTAAAGAAAATGCTACACTGAGGCAAAATACTTATCAGCTCCTTGTTTTAAAACAAAGTAATAAAGTTAAAGTCTGAAAAAGAGCATTTATTAACCTTATGGAATTACTAAAGCAAGAGTTTGCAGACTTTGTCATTTGCTTAATAAAGGGAAGAGCCCTACAGATAACAAAGGATGTCCTCCGAAACCAAATACAGTGCCTCCTGAAATATGCCAAAAAATACACAAACACATCCTAAGCTTTCCTTGAAAAAATACACATTACGCAGGAAAATACATTAAATATGTTGATGCACTATTGGTTGTCAAAAAAATGCATTTAATGTTTAAAGAAAAACATCCAGATCTCGGTATAAAGTATAAATTTTACTTACAATACTTTAATGAAAACCTTTCCCTTTTTTTTTGGTTTGATCTTTTTTTTTTTTTTGATTTGGTTGATCACAAGTTGACAAATATAACTTGCGAAGAGTTGATAATCAAAGTAAAACAATCAAACTTATCAGAAAATGCAAAACGTTCGGTAGTAGCTCAGTTAATGATTCATGAAAAACGTGTCAAGAAATTTTACAAAAATATTTTATCAGTTCAAGATCTTTGTAAGGAACAAGATGACGTTGCTACTACAACATTCGATTTTATATGCATAATCTATCATTGCTGCACATACCAGTGTGAAGGTTTGTTTATTTACTGAATCTTAGACTATTAGATGTTAACTTTTTGAGATTTTTTATCATCAAACTTTTTAAAACTCTGATAACGCCGTCCTGAAGGAAGAGGGGCGTTGTGGTGTTTAGTCTCCCTACAATTTTATTTGTAGGGGGGCTAAACATCCCCCTTGTATTTTTTTAGAAAAGTTAGTGGGCAACAAAATTTCTTTTGGTTTTAGTCGGCAAAAAACAGATACATTACCCGCCCTCATTATATAAAAATTTCTTTGGGACTTTCCTGGTTACAGAATCTAAAACAAGTTGCTGAAGTAGCCTATTTTCTATGTATAGCGGCGACAGAACATTTAAACGTTCTTGATCCATGATTGATCTTGAAAAGAAGAGGTGCAATGTGTGTGGAAAGGACAACCACCTGGCCCAGCACTACTATAAAAAGTGTAAAAACTCATAAAGCATGTAAAGAAGGAAACCCGCTTTTGTGCGAGCGACTTCCCACAAAATGTAAAACCACCAACTCTCTGCGGATGCGTCAATGGAAGAAAAATAAATGCATTATGGGACACTGGACGCTCAATCTCAATTTTAAGTCGTGATATTGTAAACATAAAAAATATCAGACCAGCAAGAGAAAAGGTTGTCATGATTAATGGAAAGTCAATTGAAATAAAACACCAAACATAAAAAATGTAAACATAAAAAATATCAAACCAGCAAGAGAAAAGGTTGTCATGAATAATGGAAAGTCAATTGAAATAAAACACCAAACATAAAAAATGTAAACATAAAAAATATCAAACCAGCAAGAGAAAAGGTTGTCATGAATAATGGAAAGTCAATTGAAATAAAACACCAAACATAAAAAATGTAAACATAAAAAATATCAAACCAGCAAGAGAAAAGGTTGTCATGAATAATGGAAAGTCAATTGAAATAAAACACCAAACATAAAAAATGTAAACATAAAAAATATCAAACCAGCAAGAGAAAAGGTTGTCATGATTAATGGGAAGTCAATTGAAGTAAAACACAAATTGTTTTTGATCTTTCTATAAACGATACCACCGTCGGTTTGGAATGCCTGGTTGCCGATATTGTTCCTAAATATCAAATGCTACTAGGTCTGGAAGCGATACAACTGCTTGAAGGTGTCCAAGTTAAATGTGTATTAATATTATTGAAAAATATTTAAATTACTTTATAACTGTTTCATGTCATTTAGCACAAACGATTAGCGATACGCCAAAAACACCTCGAAGTTTGACGTAACGGGGTTCGAATCCTAGCTCAGGAATGATTTTTGTAAATACAACTTTTTTGACCTTAAAAGCACTTGATAGCTAATCTTTTTAACTAAGAACTCACCGACCCTAATGAATCCGACGAATATGGTCTACATTGGAAATGCTTGGTCCGGAACGAACTCCTACTAAAATCAACCCTACAAGAAAGCTATGTTCTAAATAAAACTGCAAATTCATACGGACTAGATTACCTATCCTCAAAAATGTAATATGAAAAATAAAATAACTTGGGCAAGACTACTTTATAAAAATCCTTTTTAAAAAAAACGACTAATTCCTATTGGCCAGATAACCTAATCTCAAAAAAGTGATACTAAATGTGAAATAGTTAAAGCGAGACTACTTTCATATTGGCTAAATCTATATTGACTAGACTTCCAAACCTGAAATCGTGACGCCAAAAGCAAAATTTTCTTGGCGTGAATACTGTGGAATAAGGCGTAAATAAAACGACAAATTCCTATTGGCTAGATTACTTAACCTCAGAGATATGTCATTAAAAATGAACTAACTTGGGCGAGACTACCGTGTAAGAATCCTACATAAAACAACAAATTCCTTAAATAAACGACAAATTACTTAAGATTAAAACTCGGATGATAGGTGTGAAATAAGTTAGGCAAGACCACTTTGTAATGATCTTATATAAAACGACAAATTCCTAGTGGCTATTTTCTAGAACCTAAAATCATGGTGACAAGAGGGTTACATCTCTAATAAAACGACAAACTCCTGTTGGCTAGATAACCTAACCTCAGAAATATGATTTTGAAAGTCAAACGACTTAGGCAAGACTACTGTTTTAAAATTCTAGATAAAACGACAAATTCCTATTGGCTAGATTACTTAACCTCAGAAATATGTCATTGAAAGTGAACTAACTTAGGCGAGACTACTGTGTAAGAATCCTATATAAACGACAAATTCCTATTCGCTTGAATTCTTGGGATTAAAACTGTGATGATAGATGTGAAATAAGTTAGGCAAGACCACTTTGAAATGATCTTATATAAAACGACAAATTCCTAGTGGCTATTTTCTAGAACCTAAAATCATGGTGACAAGAGGGTTACATCTCTAATAAAACGACAAATTCCTGTTGGCTAGATAACCTAACCTCAGAAATATAATTTTGAAAGTCAAACGACTTAGGCAAGACTGCTTTGTTAAAATTCTAGATAAAACGACAAATTCCTATTGGCTAGATTACTTATCCGCAAAACTGTTATACTAAAAGTGAAATAATTTTGACGAAACTGCTTTGCTAAAATCCTATATAAAACGACAAGTTCATATTGGCTAGAAAGCAACATTCTTGAGGCGAGAATACTGTGGATGAGTCGTAAACAAAATGACAAATTCCTATTGGCAAGATAACTTAACCTCAGAGATGTATTATTAAAGGTGTATTAACTTAGGCGAGACTACCGTATAAGAATCCTATATAAAACAAGAAATTCCTATTGGCTAGATTACTTAAGGATAAAACTATGACAATAACTGTGATAATAGAAGTGAAATAACTTAGGTAAGATCATTTTGTAAAGATCCTATACA